TCTCTCTCTCTCTCTCTCTCTCTCTCTCTCTCTCTCTCATACGCGTCGCCTCCCATTCATAACACATCGTACGCGCGCGAGCACGCAAATAAGCAGGGAAGAGGAGCCGGGTCGTAAATTCCACGCGGCAAACGGGCGATACCGCAAGACACACCCGGGCGATAAACATCTGCGAGCAGCGCACAGCGCAGCCCGGCCCGCGCGACCGGGAGGATCAAGGGCGAATCACTACATCCGCTTTATTGGAAAGTTTGGCGACAAAGTGCCCCGCGGAGGAGCAGCAGCGCCTCTGTATGTAAGTACTATATCTCCTTGAGCGGGCCGCAGCAGCGGCAGCAGCAGCGGCAGCAGCAGCGCTCCTCATGTGGCTGGCTAATATGTTGCGCCCCAAAGCCCCTGCTGCTCCCCCTTCCGTCCCCCGGCCCTAATCCGGGCCGCGCCCCCGGGGGCGAGCAACGCGCGGGTAAAGAGGCAACTTTACTCTGATCGGGGGCCGCAAGTTTAAGGCGCGCGAACCGAAAGTACTGCGCTACAGCTCCGTGGGGTTGCTGTGGCGTGGCGTGGCGATTAAAGCGACATTAACGGTGAGGGAGACAAACTACATATAAGGGGGGGGGGGAGAGAAAGCAGGAAGGAATCCGCGTCGCGCCAGCACGCGCTTCCGGTCGCTCATCAAAACCGCATAACAGTTCCGGTCCGGCTTCCCACCGCGCGGGCCGCAGCTTCCAAACTTTGCCGCGCACCCTTTCTCTAATCGTCCCTTCTTCTCGCATACCAAAAAGTAGTGCATCACGGTGATGAACAAGGTGAAGAACACGCTACTTTTTCTTCGCAAAAGGATGCGGCGCAGCAGTGGGATGGTGTGTGTCCCTGCGACTGTCCTTCCTGCTGCCGCGTTGCGGTGTGCGAGGCTCAGCTGGTGCGGCGTGGCGGAGCGTGGCGGGGCGTGGCGGACGCAAGGGACTTTGTCCACTGTGGCTTAACACCTGGATTTACAGAGCGGTTAGTGGCGGTGCCCCCTCCTCCCCCTGGAGGTCCCCCTGCTGGAGGTCCCGCTGGAGGTGCTGCTGCTGCTGCTGCGGCCTGGCCGCTGGCTAGCTGTGTACGGCTTGGCCGGCCGCTTGCGTCGCCACCATAACTCGGCCGGACGCCGCCGGACTTAGGGGGGTTTTGTTAAGATAAAGCATTGCCGCGTAAGTAGAAGTATTAAGCATTAGCTAGGGCCAGGGTGGCCAGGCCCAACCGCCCCAACCCCGCCCCGCCGACCCCGGGGCCGGCCCGAGCTGCCTTGTTTCCCGCCTTAACTATTATTACTATCTCGCCATTAAAGGTGTAGCGGGCTGTAACCCCTCCCTCTACACACACACACACACCACACACACACACACCGAGGGCGAATTAGAGCCGGGCGTGGTGGTGTGGTGAGGACAGCGGGGCCCAAATCCCTAAAACCGAGTCGAGTCCAAAAGGCCAAAGTGAAATACTGCTGCGCCTTGTTCCAGG